CATAGGGACCCAGCCAGGTGAGACGGTGACGCGGAAGGCAGGGCTTTGTGGGATAACAGGAAGCTTACCTTCCGGGGAATCTGGGGACGGATGATGCGTTTGTCCCAGTCAGAGCCACAGGACATTCTGGAGATTAGCTTTTTATGCATCCCCACCAGACCAGCGTCACGGTGCTCCTGGCTCCTGCCGGCTGGGTCAGCCCGGGTCTCTGCAGCCCCTCTCACCCCACAGGGAAGGAGGCCATGGGGAGCAGCTGCCTGACATTTCTCCTGTCGGAAGGAACCCTGCACCTGCATGGGGGCAGCTGCCCTGACCGACCATTCTCCCGTCCGGATTTCCATCCCCCTTCCTGCCCTCTCCGAGAAGGTATCAACTCCTCTCTCCAACAAGCATCTGGCACGGCCTCCAGGGACAAAACATTCCGGCCACTGCCTCCTCAGTGGAGTCAGGGGCGCTGCGTCATCCATACACACCCACCGTCGGCGTCAGGAGGTGCAAAACCGGCCCTGAGCTGTCCACCCCAGAAACACACGCTCTGATGGGGGAAGCAGCAGGAGACGAGGTGGGGGAAGCAGGCAGATTTTAGGACTTTTCCCTCCTAAAAGCAGATGCGTTGATGTCACTTTTGAAGACGAGGAAGCCAAGTCAAGATGAGGTAGGGAGGTCAAGACTCAAAGCCAAGGAGGTAGAGCTCCAGAGTGCCCACTCCCCAGGGAGCCAGGGCCAAGACAGGGCCTGTGCTGAGGGCACCCAGCTGGCCCGGCCTTCCAGAGGGCTGCCGGCTGCCGCTGCCAGGAAGAGACCCTGGGAGGGAGTCCCCAAAAGTGCTTCCTGCACTGGCCCATCAAGATCAGGAGCCTTGAGCCCTTCCCACTTCTCACAGCAGCTCAGGGACTCAGCCGCTCCCTGGTCTGCTCAGAATACGGCCGTCTCTTGTCAACTTTGTGGCACGGCAGAAGCCACGGAGAGGTCTCCCGCTGTCGTCTGACTGCTCTGCTGTGCCTGCATCCCAGGGGGACAGAAGGAGAAGTGGGGACGGACGGCATCCTCGGTTCAGAGCTTAGTCTTTGCCCTGCAGTGGGAAGCAGGGGTGCCGGCTACGCTCCAGCTTCAGCCTGGCTTAGCTCATAAAACGCCATCTCTCAAAATTCCTAGCTCGCAGAGCTGCTGGGCCAGACTCAGTTACAAAGTGAATGCCGCCCTAACTGGAAACAGGTTTGAGTTCATTTCCTCTCCCAGCCCTCTGGGGATGCCTTTGATACAATTCCAGTGTGTCCAAGTTCAAGTGCACTCACTTGGAATCAACGGGCACTTCCTGGCTCATCGGAGTACCAGGAAACGCACACCCTCGGTGCTCACACGGGTCCCGTCTGATGCCTGGTCGGAGCAGCTTCCAGAAGCTGCCTGCTTTTCCTTTGTCATCCAGCCGTGAGCATTCACCTGCACATATTTCCCTCCACAAGTTGTTTTCTTCCACGGCTGCCTTCTGTCTTTCTGGTTGCAAAAGTTACTTTTAGGTGAACAGGAACTAACCAGAACAGAACGCTGTGTCTCAGTGAAGAGTGTCACAGGACTGTTGGCACATTGCCATCATCACCACAGAGTTCCTGCCAGGGCAGGCACAGCCCAGCACTGGCTGGGAATGGTGGAGCGCCCAAGGTCACGTGTTTCATCCTGTATCTACCCAGATGCGTGCAGAAGAGTGGATTTGCTTGCACAGATAAAGCATGACTGGAATGCTATTCGTTTTCATTAGCTTTGAGATGTTTTCTGCTTTTTGTTCAGGCAGAGGTAGTAGCTAAAACTGTATGAAAGCGCCATTTTTGGATGTGAAAATGATTTACTATCTTTTTATTACAGGTGTGTTTCTGAGGTTGGAGATTTCAGGTACAAGAGTGTCGCTTCTGACATTTCAATAAGACTTTGCAACACTAGCTCAAGACCAGAGAGAGAATTTTAAAGTCTGTAAAGGTAGTGAATCAAAAATGGTAATTTGCAACAACAAGAACATATTAGTACTTGAACTTTCTATAAATAAGACCACTTAAGGTTAAGGACAAACCATTATGTGTGGCATAGCTAAGCAGGTGCTTTAGCAGGAATATCCAAAAATGTAGGTCTCAAGGAGAGAGTGCATCTTCACATTTAGAAAAGTGGAAGTAGGTTGAATTACATTAAATTCTTAAGATATTAATGGAAAAATCACAATGTGGTCATAAAAGGAAATATGTTTTGAGCCAAAAAAAAAACCAGATTTTTTTGGTAAATTACATTTAGTGTTACCATTGGAGACCCACGAGGATGGATTAAATAGGAACCTTAGAAACAGCAGGTGTGTGGAACTGAAAGCTGACAGGTAGAAAGGCAACTTGGTCTCTTACATGTGATGTAGCTCCGGTCAGTAAATCTCATATGAGAGATTCTCATAGCTGAGAAGTTATCCAGCAGTTCTTTAACCCTGAACTTCATCACAGCCGGGGGCTCATCAGGTTGGTCGAGAGCTGTGCAAGCCCAGTGCTCAGTGTTTGGTGTTCAGAGATGGGGCAGTCAGCTAAAGGCCACTGGGCAAGGACCGTAGGAGGGAGGAAGCCCAGACGGCAGGCTTGGGGACAGAAGTCAGTACACCGTACGTCGATCTTGACCTTCATTTTGTTCCTGGGAGGGAGCATGAAATAGTCACCGAGCTGGGCAGGTCCCTTTGTGGTTAAGAAAACGGACTTTGGTGTCTGACCATGGGCGTTTTTTTTTTTTTTAATATGTAGAATTTTTTTTTTGACAGGCAGAGTGGACAGTGAGAGAGAGAGAGACAGAGAGAAAGGTCTTCCTTTGCCGTTGGTTCACCCTCTAATGGCCGCCGCAGCCGGCGCGCTGTGGCCGGCGCACCGCGCTGATCCGATGGCAGGAGCCAGGTACTTATCCTGGTCTCCCATGGGGTGCAGGGCCCAAGCACTTTCATCCTCCACTGCACTCCCTGGCCACAGCAGAGAGCTGGCCTGGAAGAGGGGCAACCGGGACAGAATCCGGCGCCCCGACCGGGACTACAACCTGGTGTGCTGGCGCCGCAAGGCGGAGGATTAGCCTAGTGAGCCGCAGCGCTGGCCGACCATGGGCGTTTAGGGGCTTCAAGGTCAGATGACATTGGGGGAGTTTCTTAGCTCAGGGGCCGGTTCCTCTTGTGTGGAGCTGTGTGTGTGGAGCTGGGGTGACAGCAGTGTCTTCTCTGCCTCGTGTTGACGGGGGCGTCGGGTCAGGGACCCGAGCAAGCCCGGTGCGCCGTCCGCTTCTCAAACGTTGAGTACGTGGTCGGGGATTTGCGGAGCAGCTCTGTCTGTCACTGTCTGATTTACCAAATTGGGACCTTTAACCCTTATCTCAGGTCTTTGGCAATAAGGAAGCATTTCATTTCCGGCTTGGGAGAGAAACCCATGGCTGCAACTTTATGGCAGGAAGTGCAATCCAAACAATGCCATTCCCCCCTCCCCGGCCCCGGCCTCGGGTTTCCTCCTTGAGAACATGAGGCTGCCTGTGCTGACTCTTGGCTGGAGGCGTCCAAGATGTGCAAAGGCTGAGCTCACGGACGCAGCCTCTCCATGTCTGGGGCGAGCCGTCTGCTCGTCCGTCTGCACGTAGCCCACGCTGACGCTGTGCAGACCATCTCCGCAGGGTCTGTCACTCTCGTCCCTCGGCCAGCTCTTCTTCCAGGAGGAATTCCTGATGGGATCCAGAGAGCACCTGGACACCTGCCTCACTCACACTATGTCAAACCTCAGGCTCGAGGGGAATGTTTCCTGTTGCTCTCCGGAGCCCCTGGACTCCTGCGTGATGAACCTGGATACGGAAGAGCAGGTGTGTGTAGTGATTCCCTCCTAACTCAGTGCGGCTTCACTACCACCGTCTCTCTCAGAACAGCCGGGCGTGGCCGGAAGCTCCCGCTGCTCTCCGTGTTCTGTGGGCTGTTTACCCACCATGCTCAAAGCATGCCTGTGGACGTGAATTAGCCAGACAGGCGGGGGAATCTTCCTATTTTGTGCAACTGATAAAAGATAAAATTCCGAGACGTTGCAAAATCTCCCTGTGCAGGTCCTGCTCACATTTCTCGCATATCCTCACCCCTGGAATTGGTCTGGTTGGCTTGGGGCGGCCGGCTCTACTGCTAGGTGTTTTCCATTCCTACCGTTTGCCTGTGGCCCTGCCTGGTCTCCCAGAAGGCACCTGAGCTCAGTGTGTTCTGTTCCTGTCCCTCTGACCTACACTCACACAGAGGCGGACACCCAGGGAAAGTTAAAAAACAAGAGGCCTGATTCTTGCTCCACCTCTGACTCCGTGGTCACACACTCGTCTGTAGGTCCCGTGACCCCTGCACACCGTAACTGTCAACTTCCAGCCTTCGTCTTCCCCGCCGATGTCACGCTCTGTGTCAGTAACATTCTTACGGTTTGCAACAGGGAGCTGGGACAAGATCATCATAGGGAGGCGATGACAGCCATCTGTGTTTTTGCAAAGAATTTTTTTTGTGGTTGTTGCAAGTTCTTAATAGATGTTCATTGAATAAATGAAAGAATGACACCCAAGGCCACATCATTAATATCATTGGAGAGGGGGCTGGCGCTGTGGTGTAGCAGGTAAAGCTGCGCCTGCAGTGCCAGCATCGCATATGGGCACCGGTTTGAGTCCCAGCTGCTCCACTTCCAATGCAGCTCTCTGCTGTGGCCTGGGAAAGCAGCAGAGGATGGCCCAAGTCCTTGGGCCCCTGTACCCTTGTAGGAAGACCCAGAAGAAGCTCCTGGCTCCTGGCTTTGGATCAGCACAGCTCTGGCCGTTGCAGCCATCTGGGAAGTGAACAAGCAGATGAAAGACCTCTCTCTCTCTCTCTCTCTCTCTCTCTCTCTCTCTCTCTCTGCCTCTCCTCTGTGTAAGTCTGACTTTCAAATAAATAAGTAAACTTTACAAAAATCATCGGAGAGAGACCAATCACACATTCTGAATAGTTATTACAAATACCTGTTTGCTGAGAAATGTTTATTTTAATCATTGTGTTCTCAAAAATTTTGGAACAATTTTAGATTAGTAGAAAAGTTGCGTGGATAGTACGGAGGTCTCCTCATGTTAACATCTTATATAACCATGGTCAATTTGCTAAAAACCAGAAATTGACATAGAAAATTACTTGAAATTTAACTACAGACTTTATTCAAATTACGCACCACATTTTCAACTAAATTTTTTTCTGTTCCAGCATCCAATTCAGGCTGCCACATTGTATTTAGAATAAGTGTGTGTTTGTTTGTTTGTTTTTACTAAATGAAAAAAAGCAAAAACTCCACCTGATGAAATGACAATTGAATTCTACAAGGAGCGGGCAGGATGAAGACCTGGGAGGGTGGGGCTCTCCCTGTTGGAGCAGGGCTGGGCTGCGCTGGGTTGATTGTTGTCCATCAAAACAGCGTCCATTCAGAGCCTCAGACCATGGCCTTTTGTAGGAAAGGGTCCTCTTCCAATAAAATTCATTAAACTTCGGTCTAGACTGGGCTGGCCTGGCCCAGTGACTCCATCCCATATCAAACTACATGACTGAAGCCTCCAGTCCTCTCTTCCAATCCGGCTTCCTGCTAACGCACACCCGGAACGCAGCAGGTGGCGGCCGAGGCGCTGGGGTCCCCGCCGTCCACGTGGGAGGCCGGGAGTGTGTCCCCAACTCTGGGGTTCAGCCTGGCCCAGCCCCAGTTGTTGAGAGTGTTTGGGGAACGAACCGGTAGGTAGGAGCTCTGTGTCTGTCGACCTCTCCCTATGCCTAGAATCCATGAAGGAAAGAAGAGAGAGCAGACACAGGCAGGAGGACAGGAGAGGAAGGAGGCAGAGATCAGAACGGGGCAGCCATAGGCATCTCCAGGACACGTTCGGACTCCACCCCGCTGTGAGAGGCCAGGGACAAGCTCTCGATCCCTGGGCACCTCCAGGAGCGACCCTGCCCGCAGGCAGTGATGCCGGGCGACCATGGACAGGTACCTGGTGTCGGGAAATGCCTGGGAAACGGCAGCTCCCATCCGTTCCCAGCCCCTGGTCTCAGCACATGGACCATTTCTGGAGCACCCTCCTGGCGGGACAGTAACGGAGCCTCAAAGACCAGCTGTGGATGATCCGAAAGGAAACAGGCCCAGATCCCTCCCCACGGGGGGCTGGCCAACCGCTGGAGCAGCCGGAGGTTCCTTTTGCTCACCCTGGCTTGTAGGTAACCGCAGACCGTGTCGCCACAGCCCCGGCCGCCGGGAGGGGTCCTCGCACGGGGTCGGCGCGTGGATTTGGAACGCGGGTCCTGTGCTCCGTTATCAGTGCTCAGCTAGCTCACGCCCACCAGGGACGCTGCCCCTCCCCCGACAATGTTCTGCCGGGGGAGAGTCATCCCTTTGATTAAAACAGAACAAAACAAAAACTCCTGTTTAAGGCTGGGGAACATTTGTAAATATTTACCCTTTTGTATTTGCCTTTTAATTCTGTTCCAGATTTGGTTTTCGTTCACTTTGAATTTCGTTTGACACAGCTGGGAGCCGTGACTATTCCCTCTGTAGCTTCTTCCATGGATCTGTGCTTAGAAAACATTCCTCCAAGCTGCTAATATTCTAATTCATATCTTCTTCCCTTTACATTTGACTCCCTAATCCACCTGGATATTTTAATTTAGTTTGAATTTCTAAGAATCTCATTATTTCTGTTTGTCACTTTATATCTTCCTAGCTCATGCCCTAACGCAATTTACTAAACAAAACTGTATTCCTTCCACCTGTTTTTTTTTTTTTTTAAGGTTTTATTTATTTGAGGGGCAGAATCACAGACAGGGAGAGGGAAAGACAGAGAGAGGTCTTCCATCTGCTTGTTCACTCCCCAAATGGCTGCAGTGGCTGGAGCTGAGTTGATCCCAAGCCAGGAGCCAGGAGCTTCTTCCAGGTCTCCCACATGGGTGCAGGGGCCCAAGAACTTGGGCCATCCTCCACTGCTTTCCCAGGCCACAGCAGAGAGCTGGATTGAAAGTGGAGCAGCCGGGACAGGAACCAGTGCCCATATGGGATGCCAGTATTGCAGGCAGGCTCAGCCCACTATGCCACAGCGCCGGCCCCTCTACCTGGTTGTAAAATGCAGCATTAGCACATAAATTCTGCATCGTTGGCGAGCCCAGCTGGAAAAGGCCGGCTCCAAAGCGTCGGTGGTATCTGGGCCCACGTTGGAAGAGAGCTGACCCGACGGCTGCCACCTGCACCAGGGGGAGGCAGTCTCCAAGCTGCCCACCTCGGAGCCACGCCGGGATGCCGGGCCAGCTGCCTGGCGGTTCCTGTGTCAGCGTGTCCTGTCCACAGCCTTCCCTGCCAGCCACTGCGTGGCCAAGCGCTTCTCAAACGTGAACTCCGGCCCAGAGCAAGCACAGGGGCCCCGGCCTCTGGATCCACCTGCTTCTGTGGGTCACCCCGAGAGCAGCAGCCTGGGGTTCTGCGCACGTGTGGCGGAGGTGGCACTGCTGCCCCCCTTGCCCAGGGATGACCAGAGCCCACCCACCGGCACCTGCGGCGGGAGCAAGAAGCCGTGGCCCTCGGGAGTTTGGAGCAGGGGAAGACGCCCGTTGCAGGAGGCCACAGGCTCAGGTTCTGCCCCATGTCTTGGTGACAAGACTGCCTTCTCAGTTTCCCCGCCCACCAGGGACACAACCAGAGAGGCAGACCTCATACTCAGCAGACTCACGGCCACGCAGCCCTGGGCTCCACTGGGCGCGTCCTGGAATCGGCTCCAAGCACGGTCAGGTCTTCCACCTTAGGAACAAGTCGGCTCTAAAGCTGGGGTGTGGAGGGAGGCAGGTACACTGGGAAAGAACACACAAAGGGGGCACCATGAGCAGTGAGTCTGCTGGAGCCAACCGCAGGCAGGCTGTCCACGTGGGGTGTCGTGTGGCCTCCTCGTGGTGGCAGAGCCCCAGTGGGGAGGACAGGGGCCCTGGGGCATGTATAGGGCGGCACAATGGGGAGAGGCTGCTGGGGGTCACATCTGAGCAAGGGCCCTGAGTCTGAGAGGGGCTGGGGGCAATGGGATGTCAGAGCTCAGCGGGGTGGGGAGGTGCTGTCTGGGCTCAGCCTCCGAGGCCGCGTGGGACCTGGAGACATCAGTGCAGGGGGAGAGGAGGCAGGGGTGACGGGGGAGGCAGGGCTGGGGCCGGGGAGCTGTGAGTACAGAAAGGGAGAAGGAGGGTGGCCGCTGAGCTGCGTCCGAGCACAGATGTTGGCAGGAGCTCCAGCCCGGCGCAGGAGCAGGCAGGGCTCTCCGGCCGAGGGGACCAGGGGCATCACCGCTGCCCCCACGCACGCTGGGAGATCCGCCACGCAAGTGTCGGCAGTGTGGGACGGCCACGCCCTGACACAGCGGAGCCCTCTCGGTGATGACAACACCACGCCAGGCACACGTCGTAAACCAAGGCCAGAGATGCTCACAGAGGACCTGCCCCCAGGAGGACTGGGAGAGAGGCAGGGCAATGGACACCCAGCGAGAAGTCGTCCCGGAATCTCAGGTCGGGGGAACAGGGAGCCCAGCGGGCAAAAATTAACCCGAGTCACCCCCCCTCAGCCGTCGGCACAGTCCCCTCACTTCAGCAGTGTCCCCTGTGGTGTTGGAGCACGGCATGGCCAGGCCACTCGGTCACTCGGTCACTCTGCCATGGGTGATCCCCAAACACTGCCTCTCACAGAGGAGGACATGGGATGGAGCCGGGCCATCTGCCTCGCCGGCGCCCCCCAGTGGCCTGGGGCTCTGCAGTCTCCCGCCCGCCCAGGCAGCTTTGCCTCCCCCTTCCTTCTGGTCTCACGTATTCTGATTGACACGCAGTGGGTTGCACGCACGGATAATGCATGCTGGGGTATTTCCCACACATGTGCAACGTGTAAGGGTCACGTCAGCGTTGTTAACATTTCCATCATCTACGCCATCACCAGCCTATCTCTGTCCTGCCCTCCATCCCCCGTGGTTCCCAGCCTCTGGGAGCCAACGTCCGACCCCCTGCTCCTAAGAGGTAACTTTCGTCACTCCCACGAGTGAGCAGGGGCACGCGACGTCCGTCTTGGAGGGCTCACGTCACTGGCACTACCTTCAAGCGGGTAGAGCTTTGCAGCAGAAGCAGCCCAAGCACACTTAACCTGGGGGGGAGGGGGAGCGGCGGCCTTGGCCTCAGCCACCCTGGCAGGTGGCAGCACTGCTCCCTCTGATCCAATGTCTCCAGCGTCCTTTCTGCAACATGAGTGGCTTCCCTGGAGTGATCGCAGCCCAAAGCAGCCCCAACAGGCCCCCAGTAGAGGGCTCCAGGCCGGGGCGGGGGGTGGGGGGCAGCAGGCAGCAGGTGCACCCATTCTTGTTTAAGCCTTTTCACGGGTACATTCACCAGGGCCATTTCGGGGACCGTGTCTCCAAGTTGCACGTGGAAAATATTGTCACTGCTACAGAAAAGACGCAATTGACACTGGCCGCAGGGATGGAGCCCGAGGCTGGGTTGGCACTGCTGGACACTGAGCCCCCCCCCCCCCAGGGTTCCACTGGGGCGTCCACATTCTGCTGCCTCTTCCCTGCCTGTGCCCCAGGCTGTGTGCTGCACACCTGGCTGAGCAGGTGCTAACTCCTCCTGGCAGCAGTGGGACGCTGAGGTGGGATGGGGGGAGGTCCTCCAGGGGCTTGGGGGGGGGTCCCATGATGCATCCCTGCATCTACTCCTACAACAAGCCATTCCACCAGCAGGCACTGAGTGGCCGCCTGTGCCCCGCCCTGCAAAGCAAACCCAGCTGGGAGCTGCGTCCCCCCCACCCCGCCCGAGGTGCCCATGCCAAGAGCTGGGCGAGGAGCCTTCCTATCAGAATGCCCTTGAGTCCCCTCAAAGGCAGGGTCAAGGCAAGTCCTAGCACAGGAAGTGGAAGGCTAAAATTAGAGCCGGCGGACGGCAACTATGTAACCTCCAGAATTAACGAACCGTGACTCAGAGCTAAGTTGTTCAGGCGCTGGTTTCCGGCTCCCTCTCTGTGTTCAGGCCGCTGAGGGCGGCGGGCCACACAGGAGCTCTCTCTCGGCGTTCATGGCAGCGGGCTGGAAGCGGTCTGCACCTCCGCCAGCATTTCTCTGCCGCTTCTGCTGAGGCTGGGATGTTTAGGGTTACGTAACAGAGAGGCCTGATGGGTAAATGCATTACTAACAAAGCTGCTTCCACTCACCCTTGTCTTGCCATCGCCTCCCAGCCTGGACCCAGTCCTTCCACCCCACAGGGGACGCCTGTGATCCAGACACCATTGCAATCAGGCAGCAATGACACGAATTGTCACTGAGCTCCTCATGATTAGACATCCAAAAATCCAGGCGTGGATGGGCTGGTGCATGCAGGACAGGGATCTGTAACCCCTCGCCTTCAACGGGTTCTGACAAGACCGATGTTAACACACTGCCCCTACAGACGTCAGAAACCCACCCGTGGCCCGGGGAGAGCCCCTGCCACAGCTCGGGGTCTCCTGCTGGTCAGTCTGTGAGTGGCGTCCTCAGAGGCCATAGATATTTCACAGCAAGCGTATCCTGCTGCACCCCCTGAATTTTGAGGGGGACACAGAGAAGCCTGGGCTGCAGCCCGCGGCATCGCAACGCAGGACACGTGGGCTCGGGGGCCGAGTCCCACCTGACACAGCCCTCCCTCCTCCTCTGCTCCGATCTCTACTCCATCAGCAGGGTTCTAGGCACACGGGAAGCAGGTACAGCTCCCACGGGGCAGATCCCTGCGGACGTGAAGTCCCGAGCTCAGCGGCAACCCCCAGGGGCCAGGCTCACACATCCTCAAGGCTGTTGCCCTAAAGCACAAACTTCTCCAGCTCCTCCACGCCGTGCGCAGCACCTGGGGGCAGGGGTGGGGGGCTGGGAAGGCATCAGGTGAGCTCTGCCCCCTCCCCGTGTTTTAATCCACCCCAATCTCCACCTGCTTCTAAACTGTGACGGAACACACGTCTCCACGCTGGCCCGCTTCCGGCTTTGGAATGAGAACAGTCTTGCTTTGGCTGCCTAGAAACCTGCTCCTCGGTGGGCGGACTCGGTGCAATGCGATTGCCCTTGCGTCCCCACGGCAGCCCTGCGTGTCACACACGTTCCAGCTGGAACCCCGTGGCGGGCTCGGCACCAGGCGCGGTTTTCCCTCTGCTCTTCCAAAGGCCAGGGCGGCCCCCGCAAGGGCGTAATCCCATCGTGGGGGTCACTGAGAGCACCCAGCTCCTATCAGATCGGCTGGGCTGCCGCACAGGAACTGCTGGGGAGCCGTTCCGCCACCACATCCACTTGGCTCTGTTTAGGAACCAAGTACAGGAAGGCAGTTATTGTACAACACTGGTTTCCTGTCGACCGTAAATTGGCAGTAGCAGAAAAATAGAGGATGCATTTATTAGCAGGCAAGCGAAAAGGAAGACGGGCCTGGACCCTGCTTGTTTGCTTTCCCGGAGCCCACTCCTTCCCCCCGGGCTGGCTGAAAAAGCCCCTTTAACTGCTTAATTACTTCTTAATAGTTTTAAGCAAATTCAAAGGGCTGCTGGTTGCTAAGTGCCTGGAGCTAAGAGCTGCCGGGAATATGCGAGGAATGCCTG